TGTAAAATATGATGTTTTGAAATATACATATATTATGGAATGGCTCGATCAAGCTAATTAACATATGCATTACCTCACATATTTATAAATCTGTGTGGTGAGAACACTTAAAATCTACTCTCAGTGATTTTCAAAATGCAATATATTGTCATTTACTAAGTCACCATGTTGTACAACAGATCTCAAAATGATCGCTCCTATCTTTGTATCCTTTGACCAACATCTCCCTGCCCCTAGCCCCTGGCAACCACCATTCTACTCTCTACTTCTATGGTTCAACATTTTCAGATTCTACATGAAAGTGAGGTCATGTAGTATTTGTCTTTCTGTGCCTGGCTTATTTCACTTAACATAAAGTCCTCCAGGTTCATTTATGTTGCCACAAATGACAAGATTTCTTTCTTTTTAAAGGCTGAATAGTATTCCATTATGTATATATCACATTTTCTGTACCCATTCATCTGCCAGCACTTAGGTTGATTCGACATCTTGGCTATTGTGAATACTGCTGATATGAACATGGGAGTGCAGATCATCTCTTCAACATACTAATTTCACTTCATTTGGATATATACACAGCAGCAGGATTGCTAGATCACATGATAGACCTATTTTTAATTTTTTGAGGAACCTCCATACTGTTTTCCATAATGGCTACACTAATTTACATTCCCACCAATAGTATGCAAGGGTTCCCTTTTCCCCGCATCCTCACCAACACTTGGTATCCTCTGTTTTTTAACAGTCATTCTAACACATGTGAGATGATATCTCATTATGGTTTTGATTTGCATTTCCCTGATGATTAGGTAATGCTGAGTACTTCTTCATATACCTGTTGGCCATTTGTATTTCTTGAGAAACATCTGTTCAGATTCTTTCCCCACTTTTTAATTGTTATTTGTTTAAATTCAATTTAATTTCTGTCAGATCTGGAGAATGACAGACTGGCAAAAAAGGATGAGTCAAGGAACAGATCTCATTACAGTCAAAGTCCAAGCTTGCTAGAAATAAAGGTTTACTATAGCTTGTTATGGAATAAGGGAAAAAAAACAACTGAAGACTCTCAAATGAAACCACTCCAGGTGATGATCTGGGAACATCTAGGGAACACCCCATCCTAGGGAACACCCCATTCATGGATTTCCGAAGAAGAACCGGTGGTTGTATGATAGAGTATGACTTTGGACTGAGGCAGTGTCAGAGGTGGACATTTGTACAATGACATGGTCTAGAAATGACACACTGAGAATGGAGAAGAGGACTGTGAGCCACATGCCAAAGTCCTCCCAATACACATGGGAGACAGAAGACAGTGCTGACAGTGACCAAAAGAAGCAAAGAGCCAAGAGCATCAAAGATCACCTGCTGCTGGAGGTCTGAGGGCCTGTTAGAAAGTATTAACAGGATTACCGCCTCCTCCCAAAATCCCTAGGAGCACAGGAGATAGGTCAAAAAGGAAAACCAGTTCTTGGTTAAGAAATGCAAATGGGCCAGGCATGGTGGCTCACGCCTGTAATCCTACCACTCTGGGAGGCCGAGGAGGGTGGATCATTTGAGCTCAGGAGTTCGAGACCAGCCTGAGCACGACCAAGACCCACCCCCCACCCCCCACCCCCCCGTCTCTACT